TTTTTTGCGGAACACTAATTGTAGCAAACTGGATTTATAATGCTAATTGTTTGAATATTGCGCATATTGAACCAAGGTAGCGCTACTCACATGACAGTAAATTAGGTTTGAGTCAAAATCCCGACAAGCGAAATCCCGATAAAAAAAATCCCGACAGCCGAAAATCTGGCAATTAAAAGCCCCGACAATTAAAAATTCTGATGAAAAATATCATAAACCATAGCTAACCCTAGCCTAACCTTTATTTAAGGTGACCTAACCCGAAAGTTAATTAAATTATAAGAGGCTACTTCTCTTTAAGCATACCTCATATTTGGGATTTTCTGCTTAAAAATTCTGACTGTCGGGATTTTTAATTGTCGGGATTTTGACTGTCGGGATTTTTTTTGTCGGGATTATGACCTGTCGAGATTGTGCTTGTCAGGATTTTGACCGGCACCCCAGTAAATTTGATGGTCTCCCTGGTCGATTCAAAATTTCGGGTGAAGTTCTGAGAATTTCCGAAGATATACTGACCCGTTGTGATCCTACACATGATTTCATTGGTTAGCTCTGTATACCGAACTGTTTGGTATAGAAAAAATAAACTATATAACGAACCCACTCTATACCGAAGAAACCTCCCAGAATATGCAGTTCGGTATTTCCAGAGTCGACTGTATCTACTCAGTCACACAAAACCCAATCAAATTAGGTATCTGAACTTTTGAGTATCGGTTATCAGAAATGGCAGGTTATCGGATTTGAATTATGGAACAGACATGGTTAATCAAATTCTTTATCAGTTATCGGTTTTGACAGGATCGGTTTTGGGAGGGTATACTGTATACTAAAATTTTAGTGCACAAAAGGTTGTTTTGATTGTCACGTTACACCTGATCTTGCACTCTGATTGGCCATCAGTGTAATGTAACACAATCAAAATTTTCAAAACAAACGTTTTTATCAACAATTACTTCCAAAACTCTGCACTCTTTAACTCTTTAAACAACTTTATACTTTACTAACGTCCAACCCTAATATCAAACGCTGACTTAACATTAATGAACTTTAAAGAATTTTGTCAATAACACGTAGCTGTAAATTTTAATACGTGCAACCGAGTAATCTAATATCTGATCGATAATCTTGTAATTTATAAGGGATGCTTTATTAATAATAAAGTTCTAGTCCTTAACGTTCACTATTAAATAATACACTGTGCTTTTTCGTCGTGATCGTCGCTGTGCCGTAGTCGTCGTTATGGTGAAAGTACTTGTACGATACATCAGTCAGAGAGAGTAAAGCTAAGTGAATACAATTTTGTCTGAATTAGATCTAATTTTAGGGTGCCAGAGACTACGTGACACTTGCAACGCGAAGCGTACTGCCAACGAAACCACAACGACGGTACTAAAAAGCAACAAGAGACGACCGAACGACGCCTTTAAACATTACGTAGAAAAGAGAAAAATGTGAATTAAATATGCACAATAACAAATAACAAAAAAGAAAAAAAACAAAAGCAAAATCTGCACCTACGGTAAACGTCAATTTTTGCTTTTAGTGGGATTTTAGAGCTTTGGTTGGAAGGAAAGGTTCCAGTTTTACTCTTTGGCTTCCAGTAACTTTCGTTGACCTTCCAGTGATAAAATCGTTGCCCATGGTAGCAGGGGTTTTACCTCAGAATCCCGACACACAAAATCCCGAAATCAAAATCTCGACACTACCAAAAGCCCAAGATTTACAGCTGTTTTCATAAATTCTGGGACAGCTGATAAAAATTGTTTCAGGCGAATTCGATAAATTTTTGAATTCAGTGTTATCGACATTGGATTTTCGACATTACAGTAATGTCGATAACACCGAATTCAAAATTTATCGAATTCGGCCGAATGATTATCGAGATTGGGATTTGATTTCGGGATTTTGTGTGTCGAGATTTTTATGTATCGGGAGTCTGTGGTAAAACGGTAACAAGAATAACGCTCACAGTGACGACGACTTTAACGACGTCAATTTCAATAACACATGCTAAATTACATTTCTTTAATTAGGAAAAATACCGTAGAGCGCTGCATTCAGTAATCACTAGAATAGTCCAAATTAAGACCCGGGTAATTTCAATACTATCGCGTGAAAGTTCTGACTTATATCCGAATATAAATTAGGCTTGCAAAACTAGTAATGTTCAATAAAAACGAACCTCTGCCTAAAGATTGGTTCAAAATATCTCACTGAATTGTATTCTTTTTTTTACACAGTACTTTCTAGGTATAAGTCAAGTTAATAATTGGGGTGTTGTTGATTTATACCCCGGGTACTGAATGTTGCGCTCTATGGTATGTGTAGTTGTGTGCAAATAACAATAAATTACACAGTGATCTGATCATAATTGTAGGACAGGAATCGGAGAAAAGCGATTTATTATAAATTTTAGGATAGAGATACATGTGAAAATTTCTTTTATGATATTGGGATTTCAGGGGGCTGCATATATTTCAAGTGCGCACGTACGCATAACAAACTTGATACGGAATAGACCGGGACAAGGTTCCCTTTCCGTTAGAAGAGCTTTTAAGCCTCACATCCGTTGCACATCGGTAATACCATTTACAAATTCATTTCATATAACGAAGGTATATCGCGCTTCAAATTAAATGTCCAACGATAATCCCCCACTTTAGCTTCAGTATCCCGGACTGGCTTTAGGTATTTAAAGATGATCTTTTACCACTTTAACTTTTCGTCGAACATATAATAAGGATATAAAGATTCAAATTTTGTAACCATGCAATAGATAAGCGATACGGTTGCAAAATTTCCTTATAAAAGAATTCTTCCATAAATGAATTTACGCGTCTCCAATAAAAAATGTATACTTTATCTATAAAAGATAAGATCATCTCAATTTACTTAATAGTTTAAAATGTGCCTTAGATAACGAGAGTAGACAAACAGAACTAGTCTTTCTAGCCGTTCTTTTGTCGTAGGTTTCTTGAGATCACGTAAATGTTTGTTTGTGTAAAGTTTTATTTTTTATGGAACATTTCGTACACAAAATTTTTAATTACAGTTCTTTTCATAAAAATTCAATGACCTACATAATTCAACTAAAACTAGATATAAACATCGACTAGCAATAATTGCAAGCATTAATGGAAACCACTAAAAAAAAAAAAAAAAAGAAACATTTCTTTATATAGTTTCATTCTTCGAAGATAACTGAGATACTATAATTTATAAGACAATATTTCAACTGAGCCCGACACAATTTCTAAGACAAATCGAGATTTCAAGTTAAAAGTTTGAGATTTATTTGATGCGATAGGTCAGGTCATTTTTTATGAAATCGTAGAATTTATACATTTAGAAACTTAGTAAAGGAGTATTTATATTACATGCACTCGTCATTGGCCGAAAAGTTGATCTAGTTGCAATTGTGCGATAGAATCAATCGTTTGAATGAAAGAGCCAGCCACAATTGTTTTTCATTGAAACTAAACGCCATTTGAGAATATTTAGAAATCGAAATCAGGTGTGAGTTGATACTAAGCTATCCAATTTATTCAATTTATTGAAAAGCATGCTGCATTCACAAAACAAAATGATATATATTGCATAATCCGCGGATTCATGCAGTGGTTAATTTCAAGTCCTTTGAAATTTCCGGAAGAACCGTGGTCAAGATTCGTGTAACATTAAAGCATCCAGATATATTCCAGTAAAAATCTTTGATCTACGATTACAATAATTATAGATATGAAAACTTTGAGGCTGGAAATTTCCTTTCAATCCAGTTTTTTTGTCAATATTGTTTTTATCTTGTATATATTCTTGTTCAAAATTATCCAACTACCTTCTTCAAGCATTTGTTTGTTTGCCCGTGTTCAGAGGTGCATAATGGGAAATGTCAATTATATACAATGAATTGAACGAAAGTATTAAAAACTTCTGAAACAAGCTAAATTATGTTGATCAAGGATAATGATGTAACTCCTACCAAATTAGATATTTGAGCACAATATTAGCATGCAGAAACATAAGATTGTGACAATTTAAACATGGATAAGGATTATTGTTATTTATATGGATAACTGCAAAGTAAATGATACCCAACAATGGGTGATTACTCCAGGCGAATTCGCTAAATAGCAAATGTTATTATTTTCTTTCATTTTAAGCCGACAAGAGCTCGATAATTTTTTTTTATTGCTATTGTGAGTTAAGCGTTCGCCACAGTCTTTGTATTTATTTGGTCAAATTGGCATTAGTGAAACGCTTGTGAAACAATCGTGGACGTACGTACGTCAAATGATTTAGAGTTTTTTTCCTTGTATTAGCCTTTGAATTTTATGTGAGTTACCTGTGCGATATTTAAATTTGAATTTTTTTCACGACTATTTGTGTAAATGATTGGATTTATTATTATTATTATTAAATAGAGTATACAAATTATAATAAAATTATATTATTGCAGTATATACATAATTATAAATTATACTACGTATCTGGTAGTATCGGTGCCTGGGCATCTGACGCTTATCAGTTTAGTATATAACGGTAATCTTGTCAAATCCTAACGCAGAGTTGGCTTAAAGAAGAACTGACCTTTTTCTTTTTCATCAGTCTCCCCTGCTCGGCTGACCTTACCTTCGCAGGAGTCGAAGACGAATTCTAAAGAGAAAAAAAAAAAAAAAACATTCTATATACAATTTTATAATAGACCCATTATTATATTATTAGCAAAAAGCTCCCGTCTTCAATATAATACTAGTTTTATTTTATAGTTAAGTTATTTTAATATTTAAGAACATAAGAACAAACATACGTAAGGGCCTAACGGTAAGCTCATCTCTCACTTTAACCTTTCGTTATAAGGCGACAGTGATGATAAGTTTTATAGACTTACATCGTACTCAGATGTGTAAATCGACATATTTTAATTTTCTTCTCATCTTGCTTATGAAAACAGCGAATAGACTCGAATCTTTCATTTAAATTCATAAAAGTATATAATAATGAGCGCAGGAAACAATATCAAAGTCGTGTGTCGTTTTCGACCACAAAATTCTCGTGAAATTAGGGAAGGTGGTGTCCCCATTATCTCCTACGATGATAACGGTGAATCTTGTCGCATGGAGGTCAGTTTTTATTTCAATTGCATTATTTAGTATATGCTATACTTGCAACTATCAAAAGTGCGTGTTTCATTACGCACTTGTTCACTAGTACCAGTGACTCTTTAAGATTAAAGCCATTGGGCCGAGAAAAAAGTTCTCATTATAGATAACATCATAAGAACGCAGTATATAATTCATTACATCGAGTTGAAGTTTAATAATTCTGGAATTCAACATTCTTTATATTTTTATTATACCAAGAATTAACTATAACGAATGTCACGTATATATTATGCAGAAAAAAAAAAAGAAAAAAAACTCTGAATTATCACAAGAATTGCATTTTTAAATTATTCAATCTGCATTTTTCTACCATATTTACTATAGGGTAAAGAATTTCAAGGAAGTTTCACATTCGACAGAATTTTTCCACCGGAAACCTCTCAGAAAACCGTATTTGATGAATCTATAAAACATATTGTCGATGGTAAAACAAATTTCAAGTTTATTATTTTTTATTTAATTATAATAAAGTAATAAATTTTATCCTGATTTATATTGTGAACAGAGGTTATCGGTGGTTACAACGGAACCGTGTTTGCTTACGGTCAAACCGGTTCTGGTAAAACTCACACTATGATGGTAAGACATAATTAAAATGTTTTATATGGATCCGGGTACATTCTTGAGTACACTATTAACATTTTGATATTTGCATATAAAAATTTATATTGAACTTATAGGGAAATATGGATGATGAAGAATTTAAAGGTCTTACCCCTCGTATTATAGAACAAATTTTTCACAGCATCATTGTTTCCCCACCAACAATTGAATACACTGTAAAAGTCTCTTATATGGAAATTTATATGGAAAGAATTCGGGATTTACTTAATCGTTAGTATAAACCTTCTTTTTACATTTGTGTTCTTAAAAATTATTACATTATAATTAACTCTAAGTTCTACTTTATCCTTCTAGCTCAAAATGATAATTTGCCTGTACATGAAGAGAAAAATAGAGGTGTTTATGTCAAAGGTTTGTTGGAAGTATACGTCAGTTCTGTACAAGAAGTGTACGAAGTAATGAAACGTGGTGGCAGTGCTCGTATTGTTGCATACACAAGTAAGCTGTTCCATCTTTTTTTATTTTATTTTATTTTTTTATATGTGCATTATTGTATATTTGATTTGACACGACGTTATTACCATTCTTTTATTCTTCAGACATGAACGCTGAAAGTTCCAGATCACATTCCATCTTTGTTATTACTATCAATCAAAAGAACCTTTCTGATGGTAGTGTAAAGAGTGGTAAACTATCGCTTGTCGATTTGGCTGGTTCCGAAAAGGTTCGTATTATTTAATTTCAAACTGCTTGAAATTTATTATTGTTAACTCACTTCATTTGGAAATGTAGGTTGGTAAGACAGGTGCTTCTGGTCAAACTCTTGAAGAAGCTAAAAAGATCAATAAATCCTTGTCCGCACTGGGAATGGTTATTAACGCTTTAACTGACGGAAAAGTACGTATAATAATAATAATAATAATAATATCATGATTGTTAATTCATAATCATTGGATATTTGTCTGATTTCGCTATAGTCAACACACGTTCCATATCGAGACAGTAAACTTACCAGAATTCTTCAAGAATCTCTTGGTGGTAATTCCCGAACAACATTAATTATAAACAGTTCTCCCTCCTCTTTCAACGAAGCGGAAACTTTGAGTACGTTAAGATTCGGTATGAGGTAAATAAACATTTTACGTAAACGTTTGATCAAGTTTATTTGTTAAAATGATTATTTAAGAAATAACATGATCTTTTTCATCAACTTCTAGAGCTAAATCTATCAAGAACAAGGCTAAAGTCAACGCCGAACTCAGTCCTGCTGAACTTAAGGCTCTTCTCAAGAAGGCCAAGAGTGAAGCTGTTAGCTTCCAACAATATATTTCAGCTCTTGAGGGAGAAGTCGGTGTATGGCGTTCTGGTGGCACTGTACCAAAAGAAAAATGGGTCTCAATGGAAAAATCTACAGGTGCTGCAGCGGCACCAACTACACCTACTTCTGCTACCAATCCGCAAATTGAGGGTGTCAAGAAAGAGGAATCAAATGAATCAAGGCCAGGCACTCCTATTCCAATCTTAGAAAAAGATGAACGGGAAGAATTTTTGAAACGTGAAAATGATCTCACTGATCAGATTGCTGAAAAAGAATCTGAATTAGCGGACAAAATTAAACTTCTTGAAGAGATTAAGGAGGAACTTGCATCTTATAAAGAACAGGAAGAATCAACGAGTAAGGTACGATATACCGTTAACATTATTGTTCACATTAAATTGTTGATTTGACGAATTATCCATTTTATTCAAAATTCAACAGGAAAACAAACAAATGACAAGCGAGCTTAATGAACTTAAGCTTCAGTTAGAGAAAGTCACGTACGAGAATAAAGAAAGTGCTATAACAATGGACAGTTTACGTGAACAGAATACAGACCTATCCAACGAGATCGAACAACTTAGGGTTAGTTTATTTCAATGAAATATTTATCACTTTTTACGCTTGAAGACTTGAATATCTTTGTTAATGATTCATATTCTTGTAATTTATGCTGTATCCTATACGAATTTATAGAAATCAATTTCCGAGCTTAAGTTGGCTCAAAAAGAAGGTGATAAGGAACAAAAGAAAAACGAGAGAATGGCTCAAATGCTCGCAGAACTTGATCCATCGGGTGTGATTACTGCTAAAGAAAAACAAATTCGTGAAACTCTACTTAAACTTGAA